GTTTTCATTTTTTTAGTACCGACTTGGTACCGAAATACCGGGTCTTTTGACAACACTAATGCAGAGGCAAGATGAAAAGAAAAAATACCATCTAAACTTTTCTAAAGACAGTATAGTTCCCCTCAGACATGGATTCATATAAACTCCTCCACCTAAATGAATCGCGATTTGTTTAGCATCTCAACCGATTTGAATCGTCACATATTTGAATCGATTTTCAACCGGCTCGCGGTTAGTCGTTACATCCCTACAGCTGACATTTGTATTTTTAGACCGTTGGGCTGTTTGAATGTGCAGTTTTATTTATAAACATGGTTAGCAGTCAGAGCCGCTGCTGTAATGATATGTCTGATATAATGCCTGGTGGGAGCTCAGCTTCAGAAGAGTCAGATCAGTGTGTGCAACATTTAGCAGCACATAATTAACAATTAACTTCTTTCCATAGCTATAGATTGTAAATGTAAATCTGACCATCTGTCTGACGTTTCCAGTCAAGTTGTATTTATTTGTCCATTGCACAGCTTACATAAGTTTTACTGGCATGGAAATGCATAAGATGAGCCTCAGTGTGTAGAGATTTGCACAGTACAGTAATATAGTAACTGTTATATATAATATTGCAAAAAAGTTACAAAGTGCTAGAGAGTAACAGTATTAGAATACTGTAGAGAAGACAGGTAGTGTTGGTGACTGTCTGCCAGGTGACACTGTCAAAAACAGATTGTGTGAGGGTTGTGTATGGTTTTAAATGTACAGTAGAAAACTTCTGGTTTTGTCTTTTTCTCCTCACTCTCTTTGTTAGTCCAGGTCAATTCAGTTTAAAGGGATTTTGGATTTGTCTGTGCATGTTTTTTTTACTCATAGATTTTGTTACCATTGCCATGCATTATACGACTGATAGACTGCAACGGTTAAAGTTAAAAATCATCAAATGTGTTCTACTGAAGAAACAAAGTCACCTACATCTTGGATGCCCTGTGGGTAAGCAGATAAACATTAAATTTTCATTCTTGGGTGAACTATCCCTTTAATGCCATGAGCGGTACTGTAATTCCTGGTTGCGCAGCACAGGTATAAACACTTGTAAAGCTCTGTCAGAAAAAGAAATTGTATGAGTGCAGATAACACATTTTTTTGAGACTTATGTTTCAGCTCAGGACATCATAAAGTTGACATTTCGCTTTAACTTACATAGAATTACAGGTTAGCAGTTTTAAAGTTTATAAGCTGTAGCTTGGAAAGTTGTAGTAGTGGGAATAGTTTCGAAGTAACTGTGTTAATTCAGTTGGATAAAATGATTAAAAGCGGGAGGAAAGAGGAGGGATAGGGATGAGCTATCAGTACACCAAGCACATGCGGCCCTAGCCGGTACTGCCTGAAGCGTCCTCTAAATTGATTGGCTCTAGCTTTAGAAAGTGTCAAATGAATGTACTTCTATGGAAAATTGAGCATTAAAAAAGGGCAAGAATAGAAACAGAAGAACGAGCACCTCTTTCTTGTTTGATTTCAAAGCTGAACCCTGTTAAGTGTAGTGATATTTAGGCAGTAGAGTTTTTAAAACAGTGGATGAATAGAAATATAATGGTGGAACAGGAAGGAGACTGTGAAGTCCCAGAGTTCAAGCACAGCCTGAAGCTGTGTGAAGTTTGGTGGTTTTAACAAATCTTGGAAAGCTTTTGACCTCTGAAGGAATGAATCTCTAAGACTTTTTCAAAAGTCCTTTGTTTAGTCTTGTGTATCTACACTTTTGACTAAAATAGAAGAAAATACAGTTCTGCTTTTTTAAATTCTTCTCAAAAGTCTCTTTCAAAGATTTGATGTCTAATAACCTGGCAAGCTTTGGCAAAACCAGTCATTATTTCATCCTCAGAAGCAGTTCTGTGTCAGCTTGTTCCTTGTAAACAAGATTTGGTTTCTTTGCGAACTGATTAAAATGAACCTGTGTGCTCTTTACTCCTAGATGTTATTTTAGACTAGGTTAGAGATTGCAAGAAAAAATGCTTTCCAGTTTATTGTAGAATATCAGATGGACCGTGATGGAGATTTACCGCTGATTACAGAACCGGCTTTCTGACAAGATGCGCGTTAAATATCACATGCGATTTATCGTGCAGCCCTAGTTTAAATATATACATTTTTCTTTTCACATCAATTGATTTGCATGTAACCTGTCCATTATACATATAGCAGCAGGTTTCATGGCTGTGCGTGTTTTGTTTTGTGGCGTATGATTGAGGTCAGATGTGCTGCGTCTTCGCCTGCAGCACCTGTGTGTTTACGTCTCTGAGGTACTACAGGTGCCAAGAACTTGATGACTCAAAGTTTTAGGGTAGAGAAGTTCACTTCTGAGTGTCTCACCTCAAGGAAAGCCATCTTCCCACACAAACAGTGCACACTCCCTGCAGTGAGATCTGTGGGCGAAGGTTAAGTTCAGTATCGTTTTAAACGGCTGTCAGTGAATAAGTTTAGGGTTAGCATTAGCATCCTCTCTGTGCATTTTATGTAATGAATATGAGGAAAGCGCATGTTATATTTACTCGAGTTATACTAAGAAACACAAAAGAGATGCTCAGACGTTGTCTCTCTCAATCCCTCCCCCACTCTCTTTTCTAGCTCTGTCTGTTGTGAGCGCTGTATTCATTGTTACATGTTATCCTCAGGTTGTTTATCTTATCAAGTCTTTGTTACGAAATATGCTTTTTG